CCTGCCTCTGCCTCCCGAGTGCTGAGACTAAAGAAGTGCACCACCACCACCCAGCACTTGTGTCAACTTGACACAAGCTAGAGTCATTTGAAAGGAGGGAACCTCAACTGGGAAAATGCCTCCATAAGATCTGGATGTAGGACATGTTTTAAATTAGTGATTGATGAGGGAGGACTCAACCCATTGTGGATGATGTCATCACTGCACTGGGTTGATGGTCCTACGTTCTATAAGAAGCAGGTTGAGCAAGCCAATAAGCAGTACTCCTCATGGCCTTGCAACAGCTCCTCTCTCCAGTTCCTGCCCTTTTGGACTTCCTGCCTTGGCTTCCTTTAACGCACTAGGACTTTGGTGTTCTGGTGACCTGAGTTCGTGGTAATGGTGAGGACTTCATTGGCCATGCTTGAAGATGTCTTGGTGACTAAGATGGAATGATGGAGTGTCATCTCCATCTCACAGGTGATGGAGAGACACAAAGGTTAGCCAGCTTGTTGTTGCTTTGACACAATAACTAAGAAAATCAACTTAAAGGGGGAAATTTTATTTGAGCTTAGAGTTTTGAAGGTTTCCATCCACAGTTTGTTAGTTTGTTATTTGTGGGGCTTTGATGAGGTAGTACATCATGGTAGGAGCTTGTGTCTGAACAATGCCTCTAAATGCAAAGGATGTTAGGACACAGAAATAAAGCAAACGCTTGATGTCCAGATATTCTTATAAGTATCATCATGATCTAGCTTTCATCAGTAAGTTTCACCTATTAAAGGTTCTACTGCTTCCTGACCTAAGCCTGGGATGGGCAAGGTAGAACATGTGGTGGTCTGGATACTGGTCAGAAGAGCTGGGCCTAGTCTATGTCCATAGAGTCGTCCTGGAGTCAAACCTGCTGATATTGTTGAACAATGGAATCTACCAGGATAGTCCCAGCCCCTATTGGCTGGAACATGATGGTCCCATGATTCTGGTTCTGCTGAAGCCAGGGTAAAGCTTGGATCATGGGGAACAGCCTAAAAATTGGGGGAAAGTTTGTAGCCCAGTTCACTAGGGCCAACCCAGTTGACATGGAAGACCAGGTTCCCCTAGGATTGTCCTAGACTCTATAGCCAATAAAACCATCCTTACTTGGGGTAGGTCTAGAGTCCCAGACTGTGGGTCCATTTGGTACTAAAGTTGGTGTGCAGTATATCTGGGAGTCACCAAGGCAAATCTAGTGTTGGCATCCAAAGCAGATTCTAGTCTTATCTCACCACCAAAGACAATGTATGCTTCCTGAGGATGGGGACAGTTGAAAAAGGTGATGCAAAACCATTCTTCCTGGTCAGAGTGTCTCCTTTTATTTCTATGTTTACCATAGGTCCTGGAATCTCACCTGATCTCTGAGGTTTGTGAGGATATGTTCATGTGCACACAGTTGTTCAAATTGAGGTTTTTATAGATAAATACTATCAAGTCCTCCCACCAGCTAACTGATGTCATGCAGAGATTATTTTAAGATTTATTTTTAATGATGTTTAAGGGAGAGGTATGTGCAGATATGGGTACAGGTGCCCAGTGAATCCAGGATAGGGCCCTGAAATTCAAATTCAGGTTCTCTGTAAGAGCAGTAAGTGCTCTTAATTGCCTCTCTGAAGGCCACAGTTCAGTGGCTTTCTGTAAACATTTAAGTGTCCATGTTACTAATCTTGGGAATTGAGTTTTTCAAATTCTACAGTCTTAACTATTTTGTGGACACCTTGACTCGTTAAGAAATTAAGGAATCAGCAATTCTTTAGCAAATCCAAACCCTACTTGTTCCTTTTGTCACCAGAGGAGCATGAAGGCCACTCTCTGGAGATCAAAGAGCACTCCCATGTGCTGGAGTAAGAGAGGCAGAAGCTCTGCCTGGGTCCTATCTTGGGTATTTGATACCCTGAGAGACTATAGCCATTTTGCTTCTGGACTTGTGTGACAACAGTTTTGATACTTCTTATTTATATCTCCTGCTGCCCCCACCCCAGGAACTTCAAGCCATAAAAACATACACAGAAAGCTTTCAGAAATGCAATATTTAATGAGCTATTCTAAATGACAAAACAAAAGAAATATGAATCCTTCCTGGTTATCATCCACACACCCAGTCTTGACCCTATACAATGTTGCAAAACAAGGAACATGAGAGCCTAGAGGCCCTGCCAAGGTTAACCTCTTCATGGATGCAGAGTAGCGCAGGGCAGGTCCGTGGATGACTCCAGTCAGAGGAACTACAAGCAGTCATACTTGTAGAGCTTGAATTGTGTTACCCAGGGAAAGGAACCAACAGTGAACAGGCAGGTAAAGGTCTGCGGGAAAAGAATAAGACAGGACGGTGAAACAAGAAAGGGAAGGACGTCTGTGGCATGTTATCCAAAAATCATCCATTTCATCCTTTCCCTTCCATAGACCAATAAGTAGCAGAAGGATACAAGGGCATTCAGACATGACTATCCAGTGAACCCAGTCTTGACCGTGATCTGAAGCTTTGTGGTAACTCGGGGTACTTGTTTCCACTCACACATAGTAGACAGTGACCTCTAGAGGAATGTCTAGGATGTCTGTGTAATTCAAACACCTAACAGCAATGGTAGAAAAGCACCCTGTCAGAATTAGCCACTGTGATGATTAGTTTCACCCTAACACAGTCTAGGACCATCTAGGAAGATCATTTCAGTGAGGGATGGCCTAGACCAGATTAGCCTGTGAGAATATCAGTTGGGGATTGTCTTGATGACATTAATTACGCAAAGACTCAGCCTACTGTGGGTGGCACCATTCCCCAGGTTTGGAACCTGAACTGTAATAGAGTGGGAAGAATGAACTAAGTACCAGAAACTTGCATACATCTATCTTTCTCTACTCATAACTGTGGATGTCATATGACTAGCTGCCCTAGTTCCTACCGCCCCACCCTGTCCCTGTAGCATCCACTGCTGTAAAAGCTATGGATGCTCGTATCCCGTCTTACATTATTCAGACTGTAACGCGACTGAAAGGGGCAAGTGTCCAGGCTTTCCTCAAATTTCTTGCACATGGTTCTACGCAGCTGAAGCTTTATGGAGAAAGCAACTGGAAAAGACATCTGCAGACAGAAAGAGGTTAAAGTGAACACACCCTTCTTGCCTCTTAAGAGGTTCTGTGACTGCTCAGTGTGTGAAGAGATTCAGATTCTCCTCCACTTGGAGTTCCAGGCCTAGCATCAGCTCTATGAAGGACAGAAACCATGGAGGTAGTCTCTAGATTAGGGAGCTAAGAACCAAGAGGGGGGAACTGCTGGAAAGCAGAGAAGTCAAGGCTGAGGCTATTATCTCTAGGCCCCGCAGCCCACATTTGGCCACAAGAAACCCAGACTTCACTCTCAGCAGACATCTGAACCTACACCTGCATTCCAAGAGGACACAGGACATGTTCTGGGAGGGTGGTGGCTCTACCAGTGTTTGCTGGATAGTTAACCCTAAGACACGGAGCTTTCTCAGCTAAGCTACAAGTAAAACACCAGCAGTACAAGCCCAGTGTTTCAGGAGTAGCCTTGTTCCTTTTACAGTGTGTCCTGAAAACCAGCTAGGTGCTGCACTGGGCAGGGCTGGAGCCCCTCTGTTTTTCCCTTGCCAGGGAAGGAGGAAGAGACTGCCCCTCCCCCACAGCCAGAAGGGCAACATTGGAGGTGAGCATCACTACCCTCGCTGCATTCTGTAGGGGGCATTATGGGATGATGAAGAGGGTCTGATGTGGTCAGTTGGCAGAGTGGGTCAGCCAGGAGTCCTAAGCAGGAGGGAATGGAGAGGAGGCGCTGTCTGGTGCTTTCAAGAGAGATAGTGGCTCTCTGTGCTCCGTGAGTCCTCAGTATCATTTCCGTTTATCTTTGCTTTGCTCTGTCCATTCTTACCAATTACTGTTTTGTTTTGTTTTGTTTATTTGAAATTTTGTGTCTGGCCTAGTTTTCAGCTTCATCCATCAGCACCTTTTTGTGTGTGACTCTTTTACTTAATAAGTGGTTTTTAATCTGCTTAGAAATGTCTGCTCTGTGAGCTCCAGTGGCACAACTGGTTAGCGAGAGGTAGTTACACAGAAATGTCTGCTCTGATGGCTCATCAGGTAAAGGCATTTGCCACCAAACCTGACAGCCTGAGCTCAATATCCAGTATCTACATGGTGGTAGGAGCGAACTGATCCCGAAGTTTATTCTCTGACCTTTGTGTGTGCCAACACACACACACACACACACTGAATGAAATATAATAAAAAAATATTTAAAAATAAATGCTCATTCTAAAATGACTCATTTAAAGTGTTTCAAAGCAATACGAATGGCATATGGATCTCGTATGTAGATACAAAATGATCCGATTTTAAAAGAATCTGTAAGGAAAACATAGGTTTAACCACTGAAACTAACTGAAGTAGGTTATGTGTAACCTGCAAAAGAAGTGGATTGCCCTCTCCTGTCCCTCACTGAGGAGCAGGAACATTCAGGCAGGACAGCTGAGGATATGGTCACTTACCTCTTCCTCCCGCCAGGAACTCAGGATTTGCTCTACTCTGTAGGCATATTCCCCCTGACTTTTCTGGTTGAATGTGTTCACGGCAAACTCCACCGAGGGAAGCAAAGACACAAGGGTGGTGGTTTCCTCACTGGCCTTTGAAACTGGAGGAATGGTGAACTGGAAGCCTAGGAGAAGTAGCAGCATGGCTCGAGGGAGAGTCTTCCTTTCTCCTCGACAGGACATAGTGCCGGAACTCCACGACCACTGCTTTGCCTGTCTCATTCAGCCTGTCAGTCCCATGGGAATTTATCAGGCACAGCTCTAGCCCATAATCTCTTCAACATGGGCACAGACTCCACCTTCTTAGTTGCCTCCCTGATGTACACCCTCTCCTATTGTTGCTTGCTCCAACAAAGATTTTGTTGTTCCTGTTGTTGGGCTTTGTTTTTAATTGGTTGGTTTCTTTTCTTAGTTTTTGTTTTGTTTTATTTTATTTTGTGCTCTGGCTGTCCTGGAACTCACTATGTAGACCTTTGTTTATACATTGCTCATAGGTGTTCTCATGACACAGGAGTAGCAGAGTTATTGGGAAAGAGATCCTGATTCCCCAAACACCAAAATAGTTTACCGTTTTATTTTATTTCTTCCAGAAATAGTGTGCTTACCACTGGTTCAGAATTTCCAGTATGGTCTCTGTAGCCTCTGATATATCAGAGTGTCTCAGTTATTCATGGTAGCTGAATCTTTTGGGGATCCATGAGCATGGGCATGCAGGCTCTTTCTTGTACCTTGGTTTCCACAGGAAGCAAACCTGGGAATATCTTGACTCATGTCTCTTCCTTTACCTAGGAGAGAGAGGTGTTCCATTGTTCAGAAAAAGAACCATGCTCTTTCTTTGTTAACATCTCAGAAGATAGACTCTTTCTGTGATACGAAGACTCAATGGGCAGAACTGGCCAAATTTTCCAGCCTTGTTGTCTGTAGTGGGGAATATGCACGAAAGACAGAGACCCAAATTCTGTGGCTTAGACTTAGCATGACCTGGCCAGCCTGGAAAAACTGTTAAAGCAAGGAGAAAGATGTTTTTAGAGAACCGACAAACAGAAAAGATGGAGCCTATGACAACAAAGAGCACTTGCCTGGACATTTTAGGTACACAACTTGCATAGGAAATTGGCAAGATGGCTCAACAGGCAAAGGCACTGATGCCAACCCTGAGGACATGAGTATGATCGTTGGAACCCATATGGTGGGAGGACAAACAGGCTCCCCCAAGTTCTCCTTTGAGGCACACACAAGTGCATGTGTTCACACACACGTACACAATAAAAAAATGTACATAGAGTCTAAAAGACATCTCAGATAGGCTGGCTGGCTGTGGAGTGGTTAGAAACTTCTGGAGGTCTACTATATCTGTGGAATGTGTTGGCTTCTGTGAATCTCAAGAAAAAAAAAAGGTGCTGATTAGAAAGTCACAGGGACTCAAATCCTTCTAGCTTCTTTCCCAGGAATGTCGATTCTGTGGTTAATTGTTAGGATAGAACAGGCCTCCTTTCAGTGGAGAAGGGGAAAGATAGCACAGAGCTACTTTTGCAGGACACAAATAATGAAAAGCTACTTTTCCAGAGGGCACAAGGACGACAGAAGCAACATTCCCTGGGAAACAGGACAAGGGGACATTCTCTGGAGAATAGTTTTCCATTTGCAGGTGGCCACATGGCCTTCAGAATGTGTAACTTTTAAAATGAGCTGAAGCATGTAGCCTTGAGGGTTTGCTCATCTCCCCTTGCTAACTGCTCCACCTGACCTGAAACTGTTCTTTTCAGGTCCACAGCCCTTTCTATTTGCTGTTCCTCCCTACTCCACAATACACATTTACCCAAGACTTAGAATACCACCTAGGACAAATTTAAAGGGATATTTAAATAGCACTCCCATGGGGGAGGATATGAAGTTTAGTCCCGATGACATGAAACAGCACTCCTCCTTGGTCCCGGGATCCTTATGGTTAGAGGCCAGATGATCTTCTGAACCAGGTCAGAGTGAGACATTTTGCCAGCACATATGTGCTGCTAATTGGTTAAATTTCCTAAAAAATAACTCATCTTTAAAAATAGAACATTTATTTTGGATAAAAATGGCCATTAAGGGCCTGGGGAGATAGCTCAATTGGTAAGCAACTTGCTTAGCGAGCATGAGGATCCAAATTTGTACCTACAGCCAGGCATAGTGGCACATGCCTATGATCCTAGCCATGAGGAGACAGAGACAAGAGGATTTCTGGAGCTCACTGGCCAGCAAAGTGTCGCCAATTCATTGAGCTCTAGGTTCATTGAGAGACCTTGTCTCAAAAAAATAAGGTGGAGACTGATAGAGGAAGACAACCCACATCAACCTCGGGCTTCCATAAACATACACAAATGAATGTGTACTCACATGACAATATGTAATGTGCGTACACTACATACCATCCTACATATATGCAAAAAAGAATTCATATCAAAATTAGAGCAGAGATGGATAATCCAACAATAAAAGCATTGAGTTTGGCTGACCCAAATACAATGCACCACCTGATGGAGATGGCTTGGCATAGCAGAGCTCAGGTGGTGAATGGATGAGATAGAGTGAACTGAGAGCATGGGACCCCTTTCTCTGGGACACGGGTCACTTCTGTGCAAAACCAAGAAACACACTGGACAATGTTCAAGTCTGTGTAATTCCCCTCTATAAAGGACAAAGTTCTTTCCTCCTCCAGCACCATTTCCACAGCCCCGTGAACACAGCTAGACTGGTTTCAAATGCCTGAGTTTCCCCCACTGGGAATTCTGGGTTATGTTACAGTGACACAAAGACCAGTGACCAGCTCTGCACATAGACATTAACTCTGGTCTCCCTCTGTGCTCTATCTTATTGGTATGTGTACCCCAGATTTGGGAACAGTCAGCAGGACCATCACATCACCATTCTCTAGGACCAACCAGAAGTCAAGACTGGCTGACAAACATTACAAGAGCTGGCATCCCAAAGCCTATGTATCCTGCCCATAAGTGAAATCTATGGGCTGCTCCCAGATAGAAAAATGTGCACAGCAGTGAGAAGTAGTTGAGGCCATGAAGAAGCCATAAGAAGTAGAGACAGTCTGCTCTCGTGGGAGAGGGTCTAGTTCTATAAGACTTCCTCTCCTACAGTCTCACACCCTGTTCCTAATCACCACAGAGCCAGAGGTCAGAAAGAGTGCCATTACATTTAACCCTTCAGCACAGCTAAGCATCAAGTCAAAGGAGGCACAGGTGAGCTGTGCCTGCTGTCTGACCCTATAACAGGAGACTCTGGGTAGCAACCTTACCCACCACACACACAAAAGACAGGAAACATTAGGAGGTACTTCTCTCCAGGAGCCATGTGTCACCTTGATCTTCTCCCTAAGCTCCAGAAAGGCTTTGGAGGTAACATATGTTATCTGGACCTATAGGTCCAGACTAGCCCTCATTGCAAATGAACTACAATCCAGCTGTGCTGTGAAGCGTACCTGATCTTTTAGTTGATCTCAACAAAGCCAACCTCCCCATATTTGTTTATAGATAGAGAATACACCACTCAACCAGAAAGCCATTGGAGAATTCTTTGTGAGCTTTGCCTGATTGTGACTTGAGCCACTCAGGACCAAACAGAACTTGAAGGCTAAGGGAGCTATAATGCAAGACTCCAACTGTCTTATTCCATCTTCCCAAACTCTTACTTAGGATTAAAAAAAAAATAAAGCCTACTTGAGAGGATTCCTTAGCCTGTCATGCATGAGCAAAGTGGGAACTTTCTCTGGAATGATCAGAAACTGAAATGGGGAAACAGATGACCGAAAAGATGGTGAACACAACTGACAGGTGCTTGCTATCGTTTTGCTAGTTCCATACACATATGTAAGTTTCATGAGTGAAAAAGGTACCCCATGGAGCAACTGTGGACAGTGGAAAGTATGCTTGGAACTTAGTTAGGCTAGAAATAGTATCCATTTATTAGTAGCAGATTGTCTCTCCTCAGAGATAAAGAAACCAACTAGAGAAGGCTATCAAACCCCAGAAAATAGCATCACACATTCTCAGTACCAGATCCAAAGAACACACACACACACACACACACACACACACACACACACACACACACACGCACGCACGCACGCACGCACGCGCACACACACACACACACACACACACACACACAATTAATGAAGTCAATGGGTCAGCTGAAGTGGTCCATTATCTTGCAAGTATCTTTATTTGTTTAGAAGAAAAGTGAGATTGACAAGATATATTGGATGATGATTAGATATCGTTGCATTGTTTCTTCAGCATCTTAAGTTCAAATTTCCATGGTTTGGATGCAACAATAAAAATGCAAAACACCATCTAAAAAAGACAAAAAGAACAGTTATTTAGGGAGCTATGGAGAAAGCATGGTAAAGTACCTGAATTTAGATCCAATTGGTAAAAAAATCCAATCACTGTTGCACATCTGTATAACCCAAGGACAGGGTGATCAGAGACCGGCCGATCCTGGAGATCAGTGGCCAGCCAGTCTACCAATCAATGAGCTCAATAAGAGAACATATCCCAAAAGAATAGTTCTAATGTACATGTGCTTACATATATACATTACACAATGCACACACAAACACACAGTAATACACTCTCTCACATACACCACACACACACACACACACACACACACACACACAGAGAGAGAGAGAGAGAGAGAGAGAGAGAGAGAGAACAAAAGAAATAGGGAAAATCACACAAGTCCCTATTTCCAGTTCCCAGGATTTGACTTAAGAGGACTAAGAGAGTAAATCAACCACACCCATTGCACTGCATCTGTGGCTGACCTTGATCCTTAAGGCAGAGGAACCAGCCTTCCTCACAAAAATCATTCTAAACACAGGAACTGCTCAGCCTTTCAAGTTTTCTTCCAGCTACAATCCATTTTCCTGTTATCCAGAGAGGTCCTGTGCTGTGCCTAGATGCCAGTGAATCCTGCTCCATGGAATCAGTAAAACAAGAATAGCACAGAGACCTGTCCTTCCAGGGACAGTAGAAAATCCATCCAGACACCAAGCAAAACAGCCTTCAGGTGGAGAAGCTCAAGAGAGCTATGTGACCTGGTCTCAGAGTCTTGCAGAAGTGCAGCTCCAGGCTCATGGTGAACAATGAGCAACCTTGTTTTTCTAGTCTCTCTCCTAAAAATTC